GGCCCCCCGCTGAGCACAGCCCCTGCTGCCTTTCCTCCCACATCTGCAGGGCAGCGGCCTGGGACCTGGCACCTACGACCTGCCCAGCAGCATCAACAAGGGGCTGCGGCGGGCGGCCGGCCCCGGCCCCTGCCAGCTCTTCTTGGGGGACAGGTCGAAGCCCACTGGTGGTGGCCGTCACACCTTGGAGGTGCGTTGTCCCGGGGCCCCACACCCAGATGGGGTTTCTCAGCAAGCCATGGCATTGCCAACACACTGCTGTAAGGATGGAGAGCTGCTTTACGCCAGCATCTGTCCCACTTGGATTTTGCTCTTTGACTTCCCCTGGATCCTGGAAAAAATACACCCACGCCGCAGCATTTGGGGAGTGAGCGGGCTGCAGGCACCATGCAGGAGAGTCGGCTGGTGCCTGTGAGCTGTCATGGCACGGGATGGATGGGATGGCCCAAGAGACCACCGGCAGCTGAACCTCTCACTCCACTCCCTTGTCCCAGCAGAGGAGCAGCACCGAGCTGAGCACTAGCGCTGTCAAGGGTTTCCTGGACGAGCTGACATTGAAGGAGAATAAGAAGAAAGGCTGCTTCAGCACCCTGCCGAGGAACCCAGGCTGCCCCACAGAGAGGATCTTCTGGGCCACGCTCAGCCAGTGCCCAAGGGAGGCGGTCAGTGGGAGCATGGACATCAGCACCAGCCGGTGTCGCCGGCATCCCTGGTGGTGCAGCGGGTGCCTGGGGTGGGGGTGCATTAGGCCCTGGGGGGATGGACAGATGGATGGATGGATCTCTGATGTTGTGCAGCTCTTTTTATGAGCTGAAGTGTAACAGGTTTCCTCCTGCCCAGTATGCAGCAGGGCCAGGCTCCTACAACCCAAAGCCTGTTGAGAGAGCAGCATACTCCAACCAGCCGCCATTCTGGTCATCTGCCAAGAGATTCGACAGAAAGTCCTACCGCCTATTCACCGGGAGCGAGGTGTGTGAACGGACAAGGCAGTGAGAGAGGGGTGTAGGAAGGGTCAGGCTCTGAGCTTCCTCCATGACCATCCCAATCCATTACGAGCACCCCTGAGAGAGGACAAAACTCTTCTGAGCCAAAGTAAGGGCAGGCACTCCTCACCAGAGTCAGCCAGCTAAACGTTAGGTGTGTCCTCTGAACAGAGAAGCACCCCAGCAGAAGTCCCACATCAGGTGGCTGGCTGTGACAGAAGGGCAGACGGACCTCAGGAGGTGCTTTTCTCTCCCCGTTGATTATCAAGGAAACCTGGGCAACTTGGCCAGATATCCATCCTTTGGAGAGGAGATCAGTCCCTCTCTGGGTGCTGTTCTTGCCCAGAACAGGCTGCTAAAGAACAAATGTTGAATAAAGGCCCACAGCCCAGTGTCCTGCCGGGTCAAGGGAAAGGTGTCCCCTGCATACAGCAGCACGCTGAGCACTCACCACTGAGCCGGCACTGCCCATAGGCAGTGAGCTTGGCTGGTGCTGAGCAGCGGGGCAGGAGCTCAGCAGCGACCACGTTCTCTCTGCCTGCATCCTCAGGCCTTTGCCCTTTTCAAGGGATGCTTGGACAACCCTTCCCATTAGTTTTGCTCTACATCAGCTGCAAGCAAGCGGATGCACTTCACGGATGAGGGCAGCTGGGTTTGAGTCCTTTTAGGCCCCAGGAGCTCCTTGTATCCTCCTAGAAAGTCATATTCTGCTGCTCGAAACCTGGTTTTTCCTCTAGCGGCATCAGCAGCATGTTGCAGAGCCAGTGCAGGTAGGAGCCCTTCTCTTAGTACCCATTCCTGGAGCTGTATTCATCTTGGCAGCTTCCCCACGGAGAACCAGAACAAAGCCTAGCAGGCTCAAAGCAGATGGGGAGAGCTGTAGTCTGAAATAGTCCACCTTGGCTTGGATGAGGAGCAGGCTTCCACGTGGCTTTTCTCCTTTATCCAGCTGAGTGGGGAACAGGCAGCTTGAAAGAGGTCAAGGATGAAGACAGCTGTGTAATTGCTGGGGAACTCAACAGATTACATTTCAGCAGGGAGGTTGTGACAGGGCAGCCCTTCGCTACAGCTAGCAGTAGGTGACTGGTGAGCATGCTCGAGCCCGCAGAGCTAATCGGCTCCTTTATGGACCGCTGTGACGAGAACTGCTCGTGAAGGGGACTGGCTGGGCTAACACCGATTTTTGTGTCTTCTCTTCCCTCCCCTGCAATATAGGGCCAGTTTGGTTAAGAATTGCCACATATTGTTGTATTTTTTGCAACTGAAGGCCTGGCCACGTAAAGGCACTACCTGGTTTTGCCCCACTTGTATGCCTCACGCTGCCTCTGGATGGGTAAGCACATTAGCCCTTCTCCTTCCAGAATCCTGTAGGTGTGGGTCGCTACGACATCACCAAGCATGAAAAATACCCTCAGAAGACGAGATACCAGTCCCTGTACCAGTGTGATGCACAGCGGTACCTGAGCAACTTGAAGAGGGATGCCTACTTGCTGTAAGTCTGACAGACAAGGGGGCTGTAAGTGTTTTCACACCAGTTTACAGGAAAATCATCTTGAGCGGCTCTGAGGAGACAGAGTGCACATTAGTGAGACTGCAGCTGATGCGAGATGGGGTGCTCGTGCAGTTAAAGCACCGGACTGGGACTGAGAAATGCCCACCAGCCCCACCGCAGGCTCCCTCTGTTGACAGGGAGGTTGAGATTGCTGCACCTCCCTTCCCAGGAGAGCAAGGAGACCTTCGTGCTTCCCCACCATGTAGGGGCAGTGGGAGGGTTAAAGAATGACTGGCTCTGGAGGCACTTCACAGATGCCAGGGTGGTGGTTGTATCTTGTGAACTGCAACTTGCCTGCAGTGGAGGTGGTGCAAATAGTTTCCATCGTGTCAGAGGCGGCAGCCTGGGAAGGAACTGTGAGGTGGATGGATACACAGGCCGCCTGGGCTCATTCCCAGTGCCGGCACTGGACTGCTCAAAAGCCCTCAGCAAAAATCACCTTCTCAGGAATCCAAGGAAGGAAGATAACAAGGCTCACTTTCACTGCAAAGGGTTTTGAAATGGCCAGCATGAAAACCCTGTGAAGCAGTTAGGAAGGACAGTAACGACCTCAGGGTAGCCCATCGCTCTCATTTGCTTGTGGCCAAGATTAGCAAACTGCTGCGGTGGCACTACGGGCTGGCAGCTCTGCAAGGGTCTGTCTTGAGCTCCAGAGAGTAGTTAGAAACTGGCCTTGGCCAAATATAACTGGGCAGCTTTTGGCAGGGCAGCCAGAAGTTAGCTATCCTGTGATGGAGAAAGCCTAATGGAATCCAGCTCTCCGTATTGCCCAGCTTTGTTAATTTTGCACTTCCAGTAGGAATAAAAAAGAAATCTGAACAGCGAGCAGGGCTTGGAATTCAGATGCATCTCTCTGACCAAGTGGTGCTAGCTCCAAAATCACTTTTCAAGCTACAGCTTTTAAGAGCTCTGTTCACCTCCATGCTCATTAAGACTAATAAAATTAATCCAGCCAGTAATTTGAGCCCGCTGAATCGCATCCTCTTTCTACAGCGAGCGGCTCAAGCCCATTGCTGAAAATAACTGGAGTGATCTGATTTCTGCTCCACGTTGTCCAGACATCTCTGAAGAAATCACTGCTGTTTTCCAAACATAAGATGGTGCTGGGAGCCCAAATCAGTCAGTAAATGGCGGACGCGCCAGCAGATGAGACGGGGTAGATGAAAATACAGCATGCTGGCACGCAAGTCAGGAGGTAGGAAACAACTCTTGTTCTGTGGTAATAAAGCACTCATAGACAACCAGCAACCTAACTGTTCTGTCGAGCCACCCGTTATTTCCACCTTGGACTCTATGAAAGATGCCAGACAGTGCACGTCCTCCCAAGGAAGGTCCGCTGGCTCACGCAGCTCGTTCAGCGCTGCCTTTCAAACGGCCCTCGTACTGGGCCGGGCCGAGATGGAGTTAATATTCCCCACAGCGGCCCTCACAGTGCTGTGCTTTCTACCGGTAGCTGGGAAGGTGCTGGCAACACAGCGGTGCTTTGGCTACTGCTGAGCAGCGCTCGCGCAGCATCTGGGCTGCACCTCCAACATTCCCTCACCACCACCAGTGGGCTGGGAGGGGGCAAGATCTTGGGAAGGGACACAGCCAAGACACCCGACCCAGCCTGACCAGAGATGTTCCATACCATATGATGTCGGCTCAGAGGTAAAACTTCAGGGAAAGGAGGAAGAAGGGGGGGGCATTCAATTTTTACATTTTGTCTTCCGGAGCTACAGCTACGTGTACTGAAGCCCTGCTTCCTGGGAAGTGGCTGGACATCGCCTGCTAATGGGAAGTAGAGAATAAAATCTTTGTTTTCCTTTTACTACCACACACAGCCTTTGCTATTGCTTTTATTAACCTGCCTTTATCTTGACCCATGAGTTTTTTCTTTTCCATCTCATTTTCTCCCTGCCTGTCCTGAAGAGGGGAGTGATGGAGCAGCTGGGTGGGCGCCTGGCATCCAGCCAGGGTCAGCCCATCACAGTGCTACCAAAAGAAGCTGCAGGTACCTGTTATGGGCACGGTGGTGTTACCACAGCTGAACAGCCCCAGGTCCGCCAGTACAACTCTACGGAGAGCTGGGCCTGAGCAAGCCGTACTACGGCAAAGTAGTCAAGAGTAGCCAGGCCTTCAGCATGCATGCATGCATGCATGCATGCATCCATCCATCCATCCCCCCATCCATCCATCCATCCATCCACCCACCTGTCCCGTGTCGTCTTTAAAGTAGCCGCCTGCAAGGATCTTCATCACAAGCTCTAATGTACAGCTTTGCTTGAATTAACAATGCAAATGTGTTTATAAGCAGCTGGAGGCAATTAGGGGGAATTTAGTGTCCTCATTCTGAATTTTGTAGGATATTAAAACCTGGAGGCAACAGAGGAAGTGAAATGAGGAGCCATGTCTGTGGTAACGAAGGATGGCCACAAAAAATGTACAGGGAGTACGCTGGTTCACTTAGAGTTAACCTTTTATATAAAGTCTCACACTAGTGTTTGGATCAGACTGGAATAATTAAATCTAGGTGTAATTACATGTTAGTTGTGGTTGATTAAGTATGCTAATTAATCTGCAATTATCCTTTGGTGGGGGCGATAATTGAACACAGGTAAAACTGCAGTGATTTAAGGAAATGATGGTTGTTCTAGTGAGGTGAGCACAGGAGGAAGGTCTCTGAAGGGGTGTGGGTGTGCTACAGCCATACTGCTGGGGTTAACAGGAGAGGACTGTGCAAAGTGGCGAAGTCAGGGCCAACACAGAACATGATCAAAGGAACGCAGGGCTTTGGCACCTGAAATGCAGTTTCGGGGGGCTGAGGCATTTGACATCCTGGATGTCAGGAGAAAGCCCGTGAGCTTCTCTCTGGGAAGAGCACTGGAAGAGCATGCACCAGCTGTGACCAAGGGAGGGCCAGGAACAGCTCTGACTAAGCCGACGGAGCTGCGGTGAAGGCGATTTTCAAGGAAACAGAAGATGTGGATGTGGAACTCCCCAGGCTGAAGAGGGCACTGAATCTTCATCCTCGCTTCTGTGGCTGCTCGTTTGAAACAGGGGTTAGATTTATTAGTGTGAAGCGAGAAGAATGAAGTAGCTATCCATGTGAATGGCTGTAGCAGCTAAATCCAAAATGGGGTTTTGTCCTCCTTGGACAAAACATCACAGGGAAA